AGAGTCGTCAGATTGTAACTCTCGATGTTGATGGTGAAGGCTATTAAACTAGAGCTCTCATCGGTTGTCGGGAAGGTCGTCAGATTGTAACCTTCAGCGATCTACGTGAAAGTCTTTAAATTGTAGCCTTCTGGAAGTCGTCAGATTGTAACTTCCATCATCGGTGTTTGATGGGGATCAGCTATCTATTGTGATTTTTAGACAGCCTACAAATGTTATTGGAATTGATAAATCTCTTAAAATATAGATTGGATCAAGGTAATCCAACTTATCTTTGGCACAAAAGTATTAGGTCATGTTAATATTGATAAGATCAATAAATTGATAAAGGATAGTCCTTTGAATTTTCTAAATTAGAATATTTCTCAACTTGTAAATATTATCTAAGAGACATATGACCAAACTATTTTTCTAGAATAGTGCTAAAGCTCTTGCGTACTCTTGACTTTATACATTTAGATGTATATAATTCTTTAAATGTTAAAGCAATAGTTAAATATTCTTATTTTATAGCATTCATATATGATGCAATTATATATTGATGTATTTATGCGATTGCATCATAAATTAGAATGTTATTGAAGTTAAAGAGGAGTTTGATAAAAGTATCAAAGTCATCTGATTTGATCCAGATGGCAAGTTCCTATTCTTAGGAGTTTAAGAGATTTATGAACAAAATGGAATTATTAGTACTTTGACATCTACTAATTTATTACTCCTAATTATTTGTCTGAAAGATGGAACTAAACCTTATTCGATATGGTTAGGTTTATACTGTGCATTTACCTGTTCTTGTTTTCTAATAGGTTATGCATTGGAGATTGCATATTATTTATTATGTAGAATTCCTGCCAAATATTTTTCTTTCACACCATATTAGACATGGATATGAAGAAAATTAAGTGTATGACGCTTGAAGATCTAGAGTTGTCATATTCTCATGAGAGAATAAAATATGGACAAGATGAGTGTCTAAGGTAAATAACATGCTACTAGTAGGTTATCCTAAAAAAAGTACTAGGTATTATATTGATAATCCTAGTGTAGTTTTCAGACAACAATTATTACTAGAAATGTGTTCTTTTATAAAGTCAAGCTTGATGATTAGGATTTATATAACTCAAGAAGAAAATTTATTTTCTTTAGTAGGAGAGTTATTTAATCCAGTGGGAGAAACTTCAAATGAGTTAAAGATTGTATAAATTTAGTAGGAGCTTTAAGTAATAAAGTAAATGAAGATTTACTTACTAAATTTATTGTTGAATACACTGATTACAATTAGGAGATCATATAGGATTTTCATTCACCTGTATAGTACAATAACCTTGTTAAAATATATCAGATGAAAAGTAACAAGGAGAATAAAAATCCTAAAACTTACACAAAAGTCATGTTGGACATGATTTCATGTAAGAGACCTGATGTCACATTTGATGACAAACGGGTATTAATTATTGAAGAATCTTTTCCTCTAATTGTAATATTATAGTCCATAAGGATCCATTTAGTCATTTCAACGTGTTATGAATATAAGATATCAATAAATGGATTTTTAAAATAACCTTCTTGAATGGATATCTTTAAGAAGATATTTACATATTATAGAATCAAGTATGTAAAATTCAAGAAGATAAAATTGATTAATTGAATCAATTAAAGTTATGAACTTAATCAATCAAACATTTATTTTGATGAAATAATTGATCATATCCTTAAAAAGAAATAATGTGTGTATAAGAAACAATAAAGTAAGTCCATTATATTCCAATCATTGCATGTTGATGATATATTGCTCATTAAGAATGATATTTTAATGTCATGATTAAAAGTATGATTTAGTTCTTTATGAAGGATTTTCTTTTGACATTCTATATCGTAGATCTTAAACTCTATATAGATAGAGAAATAGATATATAGAATTGTCATAATCTACTTATATGGATAAGATCCATAAAAGATTTAACTTAACAAGATTCCAAGAAAGGAAAGGTTCCTATAAGACATAAACAATCATTCTTTAAGGAAATGTGTCCTAAAAAGGTTGCTATTGATCTTGTAAGTAGTTTTCAATCCAATCCTAATAATAGAAAGTCTGTTTCGGGTTATATTTATATCATTAATAATAATAGCAGAATATGTAGTGCCATGTTAAATCATTAAAAGAAGGAATATGGATTAATGAGTTACTCCATAAGCTTAATATTATTTCTTGTAATAATTTTCTTTCTCATTATTATTTGATAGTAATGGAGCTGTTGCAAGAAGCTTAGAAAGAAAAATTATCTTATTAAAGGTTAATAAGAAGAAATATGTTATGGTTTAATAGATGACTAAGCAGATAACATTTAATGTCCTTTTATAGGCCATTGTCTTAAAATGTTTTTGACAGATGGGAGTAAGGATTCCATCTGATTGGATGTTAGGGCAAGTGGGAGATTGCTGGAATAGTAATCGTAATTTGCCCTTGAACATCCAATACATATTATGTAATAATATTGTAATATTAATAAATTTAATTGTTGCACATAATTTGGGTATTATTTATATAATTGTTATATATATCCTTAGAAGTTATTTTGTTAGATCATGCACTGTGATGGTCACTTGCTTGGAGATATGATCTAACTTAGAAATTCCTTAAATTTGTGCTTAACCTATAACTAGTAAATGATAACTTTGTTATAACAGGTTATTATGCATGACACCGATATATGAGATATGGTAGTGGGTCTCAACCATCGGGAATAGAGATTCTCCGGGTGTATGTCATAAGCACGCATTATGATGTGTGTAGCACTAGACCGTATTTGAATTCTCTAGGATGCGTCACCTAAGAGATAGAGAATTCAAATTGTTACATGGTCCCTTTAACTTGATGATATTGTTATTTTCGATTTGATAATTTAGTATGCTTTGATGTGATGGTTAAGCTTGTTTAGCAAGCGCTACACAACCTAAAATATTGGGTTGCTAAATTTTATTTAGGAAAATAATGGATGTCTAGATAGGATCTAGTATGCTCATTATGATGAGTTAATTTATTATACATTTCCATGAAGCTATTAAATTCCTGCCGGCAAGTGGTTTTGAAAATATTTTTTAAAAATTTACTTTCTTATAAAAATAAAATATTTTGATATTTCAAAATGATTTTTATTTATGTTCATGGGAATTATAAATTTAGGCATGAGCAAATAGGTGAGTTGTCCTCCTTAAAAGAGTTGCCTAAAATAAATAATACTGGAAGTGAGTGAATGTAAGATATTATTTAATCCCATATTATGGAAGAGCTTTTATGAACAGTTGGTCGGATAGGGATTTGATTGTTAAATTAAAATTATTAATTTGATTAATAATTGATTCTCGATATGGGACCCAATTGGTCTCACTAATGTCATTAGAAGAGGTATACATGCAATGCAATTCTATTTCTATCCTTAATTGTTATGGATAAAGTTTTTGAACAAATCTATTATATCTTTAATTGTTATGGATAGAGTTCTAAATAATTATGAATTGTTTAAAGTTAAAATCTCTAAGACTAGTGTAATCCTATAAATAGGGTTTATATGTAGCCTTATGAGAGGAGATAGATGAGATTGAAAATCTTATGAAGATAATATGAAGAAATAGATTTTTGAGAACATATCTCTCAGTATTGCTCCTCTACGGTGACAGATGGATTTCAATTGGAGGTTTTTTTCTCTTGAGGAAACTATTTTGGATTGGTCTCGGGACAGATTATTGTAGAAACTCGGAAAGCGTTTCAGGTATTCTTCTAGTTTTTAATCAATTTTGATTAATTGTCATGATATGCTTTTTCCGCTGCGTTGTATGTCATGATTCCAACAATAGATTCATATATTTTGTGTGTTGTTCATTTTGTTAGTTTTGAAACTCTTAACTGTTTGCACTAATTTTACTGCATGAATTGATTTTATAGTGTTTGCATTTATTTAGATTTGATAGCGGGATACATGTCATGACATGAATTTGGTAACAAGATACAGGCATTGTCGCGTACCTTTGTAAGATACTGAGACTGAAACATGACTTAATCTAAGCAGCATAATCAAAATGAGATATAGTATTTGATCAGTTTGAGGTTTGTATTTGATCTGCGTGTTTAGTACAGAATCTCTCCGAAGGTTATCATATACATTGCATGTTCACCGAGAAAATTTTTCTTTTAGCATTTGTTTCACTTATCTGATCCGTGTATCTGATCAATTTGTGATTTGTATCGTTATGTGGCAAATAACGGTAAACTATATTTTATCACTTGCTCTATTTCGTGCAAGAAGTCCACAGTTCAAATCACATTTGCACCGATAAACAAACGATTGGCCGAAGAAGTCGGTTGATCACTGCACAAAAGTCGGTGTCAGAAAAAAAGACGTCGGTAGCATCCCAAATCCGTGAATATTCACTTTCAATACTTTTTGAAGAAATTTCATGAAAATAAAAACACAAATTTATACTTATCGCGATTCTTCACAAGGCATTTAAAATCACCCATGGATATAGGAAAGCAATACCAAAATCACTTTTATTCTCTTTTTAAATATCTGAACTGATGTTATTTATTTTTAGCATAATCATCATCATGACTGGTCCTCATTCCTCGTCTTTTATCTAAGTCATACTGTATGTTTCATAATAAACATTTATAAATGAGAAAATGTTCTTAGTGGTCTATTCACAAATGAGATGATTGAAATCTATCCGATATTTGTATCAAACGACCCATTCCACTCCACTAAAACTTTGAAGTTGTGGTGGGGATTTAGGGTTATAGTGTTTTATGCTAAAATGCCCTTATAGGTTGAGAAAATTTTTCTATGAAGAGAAGCGATATCCATTTTTAAAAATCTGCTTTAAAATTGTGAATAATGAGAATTGAATATGGATTGCTTTGATATCCTGTTAGATATCTCTATCGCTACACCACATTTTAAAGTTACGGTGAAAGTATATTGCGAGTGAATCGCAAATTAAACTAATGAAACAAGCCGGCGAACAGTTGATTCCCTGAAAAAAAAAAACTAACAACATAGATGATAGACACCAATATCATCATATATCATCATGTAGCCGGACCTATAACTTCCTCATCACCAACATACATATATCATCAATACAACTCTCATCCGTTGGAGAGAGAGCGGCTATTTATAAGACCAACAACAAAACAAGTTTAAAAAGCCAGCAGAAATTGGAAATTGAAAAGGAAAACGCATCCAAATGATCAAGCGGAAACTAGTCGGAAGTCGACTTCCGGGTCATTTACTGAGGGGGCTTGTAGGCGATGAAGCTGACGCACTGCACTTGACGGTTGTTGTCGAATCCGATGATCCGGATGAATGCCGTGGGGTACTCGGCCTTGCAGTTGTCGAGCTCCTTCACGACCTGGATGGCGTCGGTGCACCCGAACATGGGGAGCTTCCACATTGTCCAGTATCTGCCGTCGTAGTACCCTGGGGAGGCGTGGTACTTACGGTACACGAATCCCTCCTGCATTGTCAATCGTATTGTTGATGCATGAGTGGTTAAGGGGTTCGTTTCTTTCCATGGATTCCAAACCAGAACAATTGAAATGTGATGAGTAGTCATTTCAGCAAAATTAATTACCAAGAATCAATCCTGTCTCAAAGCTAGGAATGTGTTGGAAAATGTTATTTTTCTTTGTTAACAAACAAAATTTGTGTTTGATATCTCAAATTTGTAAACAAGAGAGGGGCTTGTCCCTTGGCTACTTACGTGGCAAAATTCCAGGCAGGGAATCCAGCCGTTGCGGATAAGGTACTCAATCTGCTTGATCAACTGCTCAATGGACAGGGTAGGAAGGTAGGAGAGGGTCTCGAACTTCTTGATGCCCTCAACAGGCCACACCTGCGACGTCGCACAAAAATCGGCTAAATATGAGATCGAAAGCGCGAAAGAGCCGCATAGCTAGTTTTCAATATATACTAAGGCGTTTGCATGGTTTATTATTGAATAAATTACCTTCATGCATTGAACTCTTCCGCCGTTGCTTGGGAGCTTGGCGAGGTCAGCGCTGGCCCTGCGGGTGGCGGGGAACGCAGAGGTGGACTTCAGGCCGCTGAAGGAGGCGACCATGTTGGTCTGAGCCGGGGCGGCACGGGCGGCAGCGGCGGCAGAGGAGACCATCATCGAAGAGGCCATTTCAAAAAGATGTCTCTTAAAACTTCCTCCTTGCTCTCTTAACTTGCAGTGAGCTTGAATATTTGCTCTCCCCGGTGCCTATATATACAAGTATATAACCTTTAGCCCTCTATCTATTAAAATCGATGGTTGATTCTTAGCCTTTGGGACGCTTTAGCGCATTGTGACCGTTGGTTGATGCGAGGGACGAGACACCACATGTTAAGGGTGTGGGTGGATGATATCCTTATCGTGAGGCACCCCTCTTTTAATGCCACGTGGCAGGGTATGATGATAATGTTATCCTCATGGACATGGAATGGGTGATGGGCTTGAGTTCTAACGTCCTCGCCAAGGTTTGGGTTCTTCTTTGGGTTTTTTGACCTTACGGTGCTCATTTATGGGTACTTGCGACGGTGAGTTGGAAATTTCCAAAAATTTACACAGTTGCTATCGTTGTGCGGTGAGTTTTGAACTTCATTTTTTTAACTATGTTTTGATCCGATTTCATATCTAATATACACATCACTTTATCGTAGACATACTACTGCTTAGACGATCGATGCTCAAGACGAATTTGCGTTGGGGAATGCACGAACCCCTATTTTGATCTCTGCAATTTAGAGATCAAATCACAAGTTCACAAGATAGAACAATATCAAATAAGAAGGAGAAACATCAAAATTTACATGGTTCAGTGAACCAAGTTTGACTTATGTCCATGGGGGCAAACAACACGAAAAATCTACCACATGATCGAGAGGGAAATCAATACAAGAGAATCGCTCAACTCTCACACTCTCTTAACTTCACATACACACTTATCCTTCACTTACGTTTTCTCCGAAGCTCCAAATCTCTTCTCAACCTCTCTTACATGAGAGACTTATATCCACTACAACAAATTGCACTTTAACGACAAGAAATTACATCTTAAACGAAGGGATTTTCCTTCGTTAAAGAGCTGAAAACCTTCGTTATTGTATGCTAACGACGGGGAAAAATCCCTTCGTCACCCGTCGTTGAAGCCCTCTTCGCTAAAGTCACGAAGGGATATATTATCCGTCGTTATAGAGTCTATAACGACGGAACATATTACCGTCATTAATATTTATGACGATAATTATCACCGTCGTTACTATCAGTGACGGAGATATTTTCCCGTCGTTACCATCAGTGACGGGATATTTTCCCGTTGTTACCATTAGTTATGGAGATATTTTTCCGTCGTTACCATTAGTTATGGTGATATTTTCCCGTCGTTGAAGACTTATTAATGACGGTTGGATACCGTCGTAAAAGTTCTTATAATGGGTAATTAGTAACCCATTAACGACGATGTTTTCCCTTCATTGATGAACAAAATACGGTTTATAAAACTATCATTATAGACTACAAATTTCTAATATACATTAATAATAATTTTTTCATTCATAGGCAACTATCATATTATTCTCAAGTTGACACTAAGATTCACAACACAAATATATTAAAAATACCCAATAATGAATAAAAGGGAAAATAAAATTTTTATTCATTAATAACATCAATAAATAAAATTCCACCATTCTCAAATATTCAATACTAATAACAAGAGTTAATATCCTAATTATTCCAAAGAAAAATACATGAAACTATCTATAACAAATTAAAGTAAAAGTTTGGGGAAGACACATTCTTTCATCCCTAATCATCGTCAAAAGAAGACTCGAGCTACCCCACCTCTCCTAATCTTGCATGGATAGCCTAAAAAATATAAAAAAAATCACATAATTAAGAAATATCAATTAAGGAAATATTATCTTATTAAGTAAAATTCATATTTTTTTAGTACAAGTAGTCAATCATAAAAGTACATAAGAGATTTTACAAAAAATAATTACCTAGTCCTACACATGTTCTCGAGTTTGAGGAGTCAATGAAGGTGATTGCCTAAAAAAAAGTTATTGCATAGCTTGCACTTGTGACTCCAACTGAGACATCCTTTGTTGTTGTTGTTCCTGCTCATCTAAGCGTTGTTGAAGCATCTGGTTCTTTTTCTTTTCTTCTATAATCCATGCTTCCAGAGCATCTGGTTCTTTTTCTTTTCTTCTATAATCCATGCTTCCAGATCAGATCGACTAGGGAGCGGTCCTCTCAAATCTTTCAAAGTAGTCCCGCCACCAAATACAATGATATGACCATGAGATTGCTTCCCCCAGATTTTCTCAACTATCTCAATGTCTAAAAGTGAAGGGTTTGCTTGTTTGACTTAAACAATTTCATCCTATAAAAATTAAATTCATATGTTAGTACTATATAATGCATCATTATCAAACTTAAACGCATATTCTACTTACATATTTATCTTGATCCCCAGTATCTAGTGTTGCATTAGCTTTCTTTCGAGTTTCATGAAACATTTTTTTCACATCAGGTGGATTTCCTAACTTACCACCCTCATTCAAATATTAAATAAAAATAAGTACAACATCAAACTAAAAAACAAAATAGTTTTAAATAAATAGGAAATTAGTTTTGAATGTATACCAATTCCTACATAATTTGTCTAAAGGGTTTACTGCCCGTGTAGTGGAGCATCTTTCTTTTACCTCTGTTAAGTGTATTTAGTTAGCTTGCTTTCTATACATCAAGATTAAAAGATAATTTCAACAATCCAGCAATATACATGGACAAAATTAACAAAATTAGGAGATTAATACCTAAAATTTTGAAGAAAAATAATGTTCCTTAACTAGCCAATCTCAGTCATCGACACTCACTTCTGTAGGTTTATTTCTAAGTGCAACTTGCAGTAAATTTTCTTTCACATATTTCCTGTGCATGTCACCACGCCACTTATTCCACAAATCGCGCAAGTGTCTCATTACTGACTCTCTTTTTCTCCATGTCCTTGGCATCAAATTTATCCTACATCAAATTTGAATCAAAATTTAATTTATAAGAATTAAAGACCAATTGCAAAAAATTAATTTTTAACATACCTTAATGGATGCCCACATTCAAAATTTATCCTAATGTAGAAGCACTTAATGTCAAAGCCACATTCAAAATAGGAAGAAAAGAAACATCATATGTCTAAAAAAAAGGAATAGTTATAGTGAGATACAACTTAAAATTTATCTCAATAACACAATATCATTTGAGTTCCATTCTTTAATGAAAGCGTTTTAATCCTCTACTTGAGTCTTTTTCCTCTTTTTTGAAGTTAAGACCGAATTTACAATAATTGGATCAATATCTGTTTGGGTGGAAAACTGATTTCATTGATGAGTCCATTACAGCTTCAAACACTTACAATAAACTCAAACAACAAATATAGCCTTTTTGTAAGACTTTAAATCAAAAGTTACAATTTTCTCTCAAACTACACACAATAGAAGTTTATCGCCTATTGCATGTGCGGGATCGTTGCCGGTGCCGGGGTTTATCCGTGGACCGCCTACGGATCAGATCCGGTGAGCAGAAGTTTGGATAATTAATGCTTTCGCTTCACGAAGGAAGTGATTGCAGTAGCGACGATTTTGACTAAGCAAAATCACGGCTCTTCTCAGGATTTAAGACTAAGCTTAAATCCGGAGGAGGGTGGAATGAGTCTCAGATCTCTCGAACTATTGCTTTGTTGAAGAACTCCGCTAAGATCTGCTAACTCTCTGAAATTCGTGCTCCAATCTCCAATTTGACAGCACTTCGTCCTCTTGATTTCCAGATCTCTCAAAAATGAACACCCGAACCCCTATTTATAGGCTTGGTTGGTGGTTTCCTTGGATCAAAACGAGGGATTCTCTCTATCTTCAGTTAGCAACTGTCTAACAACAATATCAGAGCAGTTGGAACCTCAAATCCCGAAAGAATCCATAAAAGAACAAAAAAAAACTAATTCTGGCCGATTCACCGAAGTGGCTCGGCCTTGGCCAAGCCACCAAATGGTGGTTTGAACTTGGCCGAGCCACCATTTGGTGGTTTGACATTGGCCGAGCCACCATTTGGTGGTTTGACAATGGCCGAGCCACCATTTGGTGGTTTGACATTTGCCGAGCCACCATTTGGTGGTTTGACATTGATCGGGCCACTTGGTGAATCTTCTCTTTTTGAATGCTGACGTTTATCGCCTTCTCTTCGTCTCGAGCCGTATACGGGAACTTATAGGCATTTTTAGACGCCTACAGATACCTCCTCCAAAGTGTTTCAGCCTCATTCCTTTATAGAAGAGTCTGAAATACTTTGGACGTGATAGGCCTATACCTTCAGTCGGTATTAAAGGACCTATAACCAATTTCGGTTCTTGACTTCTTCACATTTCAGTCTGTTCAGTGTTTTATCGAACAGTTAAAATGCTTCTGGTGCTGCATTTATTGTCTGACCGTTGTCGAAGTCTCGAATCGGAACTTGGTGAGTTAATTTTGGCTCGTCTCGCTGAGTTGACTTTTGGATTAACTATCTGCATCGCAACATGTTGACCGGTGTTGACCTAGGGCTACGCGTTGATCCGTGTTGACCTTAGGGTTTCGAATCGATCGGCGTTGACTCTCATTGCAATGCGTTGACCGGCGGTTACCTAGGGCTACGCGTTGATCCGGCGTTGACCTTAGGGTTTTAAATCGATCAGCATTGACTCTCATCGCAATGCGTTGACCAGCGTTGACCTAGGGCTACGTGTTGATCCGGCATTGACCATAGGGTTTCGAATCGATCAGCGTTGACTCTCATCGCAACGTGTTGACCGGCGTTGATCTAGGGCTACGCGTTGATCCGGCGTTGACCTTAGGGTTTCGAATCGATCAGCGTTGACTCTCATCACAATGCGTTGACCGGCGTTGACCTAGGGCTACGCGTTGATCCGGTGTTGACCTTAGGGTTTCGAATCGATCAGCGTTGACTCTCATCGCAACGCGTAGACCGGCGTTGACCTAGGGCTACGTGTTGATCCGACGTTGACCTTAGGGTTTCGAATAGACGTGAGGAGAACCAGTTTATACTCGTGTACTCCTGGGAGTTTCGGGAATTAGTTTAACCTCGTGTGCCAAAGTTCCGCCCCCCTCTTCAAAAATTCGGCTGCTGCTCCTTCTCCAAGAGTTCTAAACCTCCAAGAACTTCCCCACACCAAGGACTCCAAACAAGATCCAAGTCTTCCTCCTTAAAACCCATCAGCTTTGATAAGATAAAGCCTCAAAAAAGAACCCCTGACCTTGGCCGAAATCTTCATCTCCCCACAAGCTAGGGTTTGGGATTTTCTTCTTCTTCAAGCTTCAGAACTTGGGTAAGTCCCTTGCTTTGATTTTAGTTAGTTCCTCATGCTTTGGTTCAATGATTGAAAACCCTAGTTCTTCAAATTTGGGGGAAATCCGAAATTTGCATTGGGTTTGATTGTTGGCCGAATTTTCTTGATTGATTGTGTTCATGGCTTGATAATTTCAACTCTAGCTCTTTAATCTTAGAAGAAAACTGAATTTGGGTATGGAATTTGAGAAATTGGCCGAAATTTTTTTACTGTTCATGGCCGAAAAATCTTGTTGAGTTCTTGGGATTGATGGTTGGCCGACTGATTTCTTGTTGAACCTGTTTATAGCCGAAACATCCAGGTTTACATCGGTGATATGCATGGCCGAATTCTTGGTTTGTTTGAACCCTTAACTGTACATGGCCGAGAAAATCTTACTGTTCATGGTTGTGAAATCTTGACCGAACCTGTACATGGCTGAAAATTCTGTTGAGGTCTTCGAGCTTTTCATGGCCGAATTCTTTTATGTGCTTGAACTTTGTATATAATTCGAACTCGTATATAATTGAACTCATGTATATGATTGAACTCGAACTTGTATATAGCCAATCTCTTGTGTTGTCGAATTCATATGTTACTGAACTCGTGTATGCCTTGAGTCCAAACTTGTAAGTGGTCGAACTCTTGTGTACGATTGAACTCATGTAGACCTTAAAACCAAACTTTTACGTTTGATTTTCCTCTCGTTTTAACATGAATGGGGGATGTCGTATAGGTTTAATCGGACCTTCAACTAGAAAATTCTACGTTGTAGAACTTCAATCGAATATTCACAAATTCCCTTTTTAACATTATACTTCCCAAATCCTCTGAATGATTGAATTGTTGGTTCTCGTTGCAGGTTAGCTATGGCGACAAGGAAGTCACGTACCGCGAGGGGTCGTTCTGCTACCCAGTCACCCGAGCCCGAACCTTTCAGTTGCACTGGTATAACGTTATCATTTCTCTTATTTACGACTTTAACATTAACATTGCATCTTGCATCCCAGCTTTGTTATCCTTGATGAGGCAATTGGGAAGAGCCGTCACCCTCCTTCGTGGGCGTGACCGCTTCATATCAGTATAGAGCCGTCATTCTCCTTCGTGGGCGTGGCCGCTTCATATCCTTGTTTCGCTTGATCAAACACACTTAAAATTAATTCAGGGCGACTTCACCGGTATAGAGCCGTCATCCTCCTTCGTGGGCGTGGCCGCTTCATATCCGTGTTTCGCTTGATCAAACACACTTAAAATTAATTTAGGGCGATTTCACCGGTATAGATCCGTCATTCTCCTTCGTGGGTGTGGCCGCTTCATATCCGTGTTTCGCTTGATCAAACACACTTAAAATTAATTCAGGGCGACTTCACCGGTATAGAGCCGTCATTCTCCTTCGTGGGCGTGGCCGCTTCATATCTATGTTTTGCTTGATCAAACACACTTAAAATTAATTCAGGGCGACTTCACCGGTATAGAGCCGTCATTCTCCTTCGTGGGCGTAGCCGCTTCATATCCGTGTTTCGCTTGATCAAAACACACTTAAAATTAATTTAGGGTGACTTCACCGGTATAGAGCCATCATTCTCCTTCGTGGGCGTGGCCGCTTCATATCCGTGTTTCGCTTGGTCAAAGCATGCTTAAATTAACAAGCATTTTTTCTTCTTCTTCTTCTTTTTTTTTGAAGCCCACATGGATGTATTATACATGATATCCCACTTTTGTTCTCCTTAGTGAGGCAATCGGGAAGAGCCGCCATTCTCCTTCGTGGGTATGGCCGCTTCACAGCCGTGTTTTGCTTGGCCAAAACACGCCTAAATTAACTTGGGGCGATTTCACATTGTATCGCATCGCGCGGGGTGAGGTATGTTGTCGCGTTGTTGTGCAATAGCGTACTTTGTCTCGCGCGCACGTGATACCATTAAAATCGTCTCACCAACTACAGGATCGTGACTCTATCTCGCCGCTCCGTGAGATGAGTTCAAAGCCTGCCTAAATGACCATAAAACTTCATAATTACATTTTGTGAATGCACATTATTTGTTTTAGTCGACTTCCCTTCAAGGGCGATTAACACCAGTGCGGTGGAAGGTCGCTCCGGCGAGGCTTATGCTTCTATCAACGACCCTATGCTCATTCCGGCTATTCCCCAATTTGCTCCAGACGCATCTGAAGAACTTCCCCAGCTAATACGCAAAGGGAATCGACAAACTCCTCCACAGTGGGACCTCTTTCCGTCAATTCAGGCCAGTCTTTGATCACAGGTTAGCCTTAATAGAGAAGATCGGATCGCCACACTTGGCACAAGCTATTGCTGACGATTTGGACCGGCTAGAGCGCGAATTTCAACGGTTACAAGAGTTGAAGACCGTAGGTATTTCGACGTACATAGCCAAACATATGGAATCTCGTCTACAAGTCTGGCGCGACACTCGAGTCTCTGTTGGACTTGAGATTCAAAAACAACAAAGTCGCGTGGATCAAATGGAGGCCGTTCTAGCTGAGAAACAAACATCTTTGTGTCAACTCGAATCCTCTATTACGTCGGGTGAAGCTAAGGTAGAGCGACTCAAAGAGGAGCTCAAGGCAGAAGAGGAGGCCCTGGGAATCTTGGGGATGGCGAAAGATGACTTGGAGCGTTCCCGGGTTGTGATATCCGGGAAATTAGAGCTCTCGAGACAGAGGTTAACCGAGATCAAAGAAGAGGCCGCGAAGACATTATCCCTCACCGAGGAGTCTTTCAAGGTTGAATTGCAGCGTGAGCTTGAGCGAAATTATACGTGCCTTTACCGATTACCGTTTGAATCGGGCTAGCATGCGGATTGTTTTAGTCCGTTCCGCATGTAACGTTGTGCTAAGAGAATTACTTCTCTTAGACTTGATGCTATGACTTTGAATACATAGGCTTAACCGTTTCTTATAGGGAAAAGGTACCCAGCATCGCGTATTAGACGACGACTTATCCCTTCTTAGGCTTCGGGATAAAATTCCCCAGGTTTAGACTCTGGTGTCTTTTTCAATCGGTAAAAGACTAATCCGGCAATGTGTGTTAGACCTAGACTTTGGGATTTTTGACAAACCCCCAGCCTTCAACGGGTTTGACGTGCCTTTACCGATTACCATTTGAATCGGGCTAGCATGTGAATTATTAAAACCCGTCTCACATGTAACATTGTGCTAAGGGAATTGCTTCTCTTAGACTTAATGCTATGATTTTGAATACATAGACTTCGTCATTTCTTACGGGAATATGGCGTCCGGCAATGCGTATTAGGCGTTGACTCATCCCTACTTAGGATTCGGGATAAAAGTCCCCAGAATTATACTCTGGTGTCTTTTTCAATCGGTGAAAGATTAAACCCGCAACGCGTGTTAGGCGTAGGCTTATCTCTATTTAGGAGTTGAGATAAAATTCCCCGTGCACAAAGTGCACGAATTGGAAGTTGGGAATTGTGTCTTTTCTCAGGGTAAAGACGGACTGGAAAATGGAAGAGGAAGAATTTTATATTCTATCTCCCTGCACTGAAGAGGAAGAATTTTATATTCTATCTCCAGTTGGAAAGGAAACTCAAGGTGGGATCTCCACCCCCAGAATCCGAAATGATGAAACTAAGAGTGAGATCTCCACTCCGAGAATCGGAAAGATTCAAACGACCCTAACTTTTATAGGATTGGTCGTTTGATCCAAAAGAGTCCCTCATTTATTGAGGAGAAAGTCCAATTTCGACCCTAACTTTTATAGGGTTGGTGGAAAAAGGAACAAAGGCAAACTTTCGTTTATCGAAAAAGGATGACTCGGTCTTAGTCCTAACTATCTGTAGGTTTGACTAAAAAGGCAAACTTTCGTTTATCGAAAAAGGATGACTCGGTCTTAGTCCTAACTATCTGTAGGTTTGACTAAGTGAGATTGGGAACAATCCTAACTTTTATAGGTTTGATTGTTCGAATTGAAAGTGGACCTCTCGTTCATGGAAGTAATCGAGAGAGGAATTTAGTTTTGGCCCTAACTTTTATAGGTTTGACCTCAAAGCAAAGAGAGTGAAATACATGTAGCAATGAGAATGCCAACTCGTACTATCACTCAATGGAGGACTTCAATGCTAAGTGATTAGGACCTAACATGTTGAGTCTGAGAACTGCCAATGACTGGCGGATAGAAATTTTGGTGGACCCACCGTTAATTAATTTGATCAGTGGAGGATTTTGCGAGGAAAGATTAATCTGTTAAAAGGATTGAATCTCGTCTCAACAAAAATAACTCATGAGAGTTAAAAAACTTGACAACAATAAAAGGAAACATCCTGACGCTCAGAATTCGAACGTGGATCTCTTATTTATCACTTTTACAGTGATTGGGTTATCCCTAAGAATACCACATATTGTATTCTTCCGGGAACTTCCTGATACATTGGTTATCCTGTGTATACTAAGGGTAGTATTTTTTCAGGAACTTGCCGTTTATCGGCATCATAAGCCGGTCGCCTTCCTTGGTAATAAGGCGATATGCACCACTCAAATAGACTGTCTCTACTACGAACGGTCCTTCCCATTTGGGTTCAATTGAGAATCACCAAAAATTTCGAGATACTCGACTCTAGCTCTGTGGCGAGATTGGTTCAATAAGCAATATCTTATTTCCAATCCCTTTTTATTGATATCGGGTTATCCTTAAGAATATCACATATAATATTCTCCAGGAACTTCCCGTTGGATACGAAGGAAACAGTTTATACTCATATACCTGTTGGATTTTGAAAGAAGCAGTTTATACTCGTATACTTTTCGGAGTGTTATGGTCGCTCTCATTCGGTTTGTTCTACCATTGAGACGCCGACTTCAACTAAGGCCTGTATTGTATTTTTAAGAGTGATACAAGTCTTGGTGGGATGATGGACCCTCCTGTGGTACTCACAATATTTTGGGTCTGAACTGCCATTAGCTTCCTCCTGATTTTTAATGGGTGGGAACTTGATTTTGTCATTTTTAGGAGGTATTTGAGGATAGCTGGGACATCATCATACTTGAAAGAGTATCGTTGCATCTGAAGCGACTGTTGTGGTGATCGCTCTCGTGGTTGTCGTTGTGATGTTTGATCAGCAACGAACCTAGGTACGAACTCTAGTTGGCTTCCCTCAACTCTCTTTCTTTTGGGATAGCGTCTAGTCGAGGTGGTGATAGACTCGATTTCCCTCTGTTTTTCGTCTTCATCTTCATTTCTCTTTGAATGATGTCGAGAAGAAGGAATTATGTCACCCTCAGTGTCATTGAAGGGTGTGGTCGTACCACCCCCAGTGTTATCGAGGGGTGAATCAGTCTTGATGACCATATTCAGATTCGGACCATTGTTACTTGTCCTGTTTGGAATAGGCGTGACTGGTATAGTGTAACAACTAGACCCCACCTGATGACCGGATTTAGGAAATTGATATTTTTGAGCCTGCAACTCTTTTATCTGTTGCATGGCCAACTCCATCTTAGCCTCAAATTCTTCTTTCTGCTTGATTAATGCTTCTTGAACAATTTGGGTGAGCTGGTCAGGAGTGATCGTGAACGCTTCTCTAGTGTTTTTAGAAAGACGTGATAACTCGTGTAGAGTTACTTTCACTGGGATGTTAGCCAATTGGGTCATAACATCGAAGTGGTATGAAGTGTTTGAATTTCCCTGTTTATCTCTTCCAATTGGCCGATTGAAATGAGACTGCCTCAGGCTTTGAACATCTTGGTGCAGGGTCTCCTGCTGGGTCTTCTCAGCAGGTGCGGGGGGAGTTGTAATCACCCCAACCTCAGCTAGTCGATCAGAGGCACTTGGATATTTGAACCGGACTGGCTCACTGGTGGTTACAAAAGTTTCATGTTCATTGTCGGAAAATGAGAAAACAGGAATTGCTTCGTCGTCTACTTCTGGAATAGCAGAGGCTCCGTAACAGGATTTTCCCTTGCCTTTTGATTTCTTTTTGGATGACGATCCGACCCACTGTTCATCTTTGACCAGATCGGGATGAACCTAAAGAATTTCGCCATTTAGGGCTGTGTGTGGCACAAGTCCTTTCTGGCGTTGTTTGTGAGGATCGTCGTTGACGGTCTTCACTGTCGCGTTTATCACAGGCTCAGGCTGAAACCAGTTCAACGGAACGGATCCGAAGCTAATTGACACCGCATTCGCACCCACTTTCTTCTCTTTAGGCTGCTTCATAGTGATGACCCCAACATCAATCAAAGCTTGGATCTTGTCTTTTAGGGCGTAACACGACTTGGTAGGGTGGTGCACCGCTCTGTGGAATGCACAGTATTTCGGATCATTAACCCTTTTGGCGTCTTCCTGATCTTGGATCGGAGGCAACTTAATCTTGTTATTTTCTATGAGGTATTTGAAAATACCGGGGACTTCATCTTCTTTGAATGAGTAGACCTTCGGGAATTTCGGTTCCAAAGTCTTCTGTTTCTGAGGCTGTTGTTGCCACCGTGACTGCTGCTGTTGTGGTTGCGATTGCACTTCGAATGTTTGGTTCGCGTCCACTGCATTCACTTGCACTTTCCCTTTTCCCTTAGAAACAAAATTCTTTTGCGGGGCTGGTGCCGTCGTTTGACCTCTTTCGGCCTTTTTCCTCTTGAGGAAACGTTCGGCTCTTTCCCCTCGGACCTTCAAATCTTTCCAGGTCTTAGACGGTGCCATTCCCATGGCTTCGAGAATATCCAATGAAAGGTTGTTGTGACAAGTCTCCAGGATGAAATCCTCACTGATCGGATCCCTACAATTCATGGCTTTGTTCCGGAATCGTTTAATGAAATTCTCCACCAACTCTCCATCCTTTTGCTTCTCATCAAATAATGTTCCGATCGAGACCTCAGTGTCGTCGTCGAAGAAATTTGTGAGAAACATGTCCTCCATGTCATCCTAACTGCTAATGCTCCCCGGTTTGAGGCGGCGATACCAATCGAAGGCTGCTCCGCAGAGAGTGCCGACGAATGACCGTACCATCAAAGGTTCATTTCCGGAGATTATCCCTAAGTGAGACTTGAAGTATATAACGGTGTGAAGTTGATTAAGTTGAACTTCGCCGGATACGGGATTGACTCCCACTCTCTTGGATATGGGCACGGTATTCCGGACCTTTTC